ACGGATCGAGACGAGCTGCTCCGAAATCGGACGAATATGTAAGAATTTGTTCGTGAGAAAGTATATACAGGGTAGCTGTTAAAGATGGAACCAAACCTATAGTGCTTAAACGGTTTAACATACAAAACCTAAAATTTCAGAATTTCAACTAAATACATTTGCGCATATTTTAGCACAAATTTTTTTTTTTTTATAATTACAAAATTTTAAGCATGGCCGCCATCTTGATTTTTTAAAATAATATCCTTTCTGTTGTGTTTAAACCCCATGTGTGATAAATTTTGTAATCAGGGTGTTAAACCCTTTCAAATGGTATATCACATGACCTATGTTGCAATTTAAAAAAAAACAACATGGCGGCCATGCTTAAAATTTTGTAATTATAAGAAAAATAATTTTTGGGCTAAAATATATTTAGTTGAAATTCTAAAATTTTGGATTTTGTATGTTGAACCGTTTAAGCACTTGTGACGAAGTCACTAAAATTCCCATTAATTTATTCCATAAATTAATTTCTAAAATTAATTTCCGTCTATGAACATTTGCAAGACCCCCTGTAACTAATATTTCCATAGAATTACCGTTTTTAAACCTTTGCAAGAGCCCTCGTAGTTTAAAACTTTTCATTATCACAATAAATTGAGTCGTGTCGTAAAATCGCAATTCTAGTAGGTTTATCAGTAAGCTGATCAATTAACGTTTTTTTTGCAAAACAACTTATTTCCTCTGGGTAGGGACTATCGTCCCCACTCCGGCAAAAGTACGACTTTTGATAAAAGTAGATGTTTTCGATGGGAGAGCCCTCTTTGCTACGCCGTCTGTGTTCGCTTCGAAAAATCGTTTTTATCGAGAGTGCCGGATTTCCGCGAAGACCGTTATTTTTCAAGACAGTGAGAAGTTAATCAAGGTAGACCTTTTATTTAAAATTCCGTTTAATAATTCTCCCTGCAACATTAATTTCAGTTTCTATTAATTACCTAAAAAATTCGACCAGTATTTTGGATTTCTTAGTACCTGTCAGGGTAACAAATTGGATTTAGATCCGGGGGCTTTAGCACCCTTCAACCATTTTCGCGTTAGTCAGGGGGTGATAGTGGTATTCGCTTGCTTCCCCCGTCGAGAATCAGAGCTGTTTCTCTTTTGTAGAAGCTATGGACTACCAGATGTCTACATAAGAGAAATTTGAAACCGAATAAATAAAGTTAAACTCGTCAATATTCCCTAAAGTGTTGGTCGAATAATACCGTTTTAAGTCACCTGTATTTGGACTATTGTGCCTAGCAAAATAATATTGCGGGGAGGATATTGAGCGTCATTCTTACAAAGGCAACCGTCATATTTTTTTGCTCTCATAAGTGCAGAGTGATACCGTTCACCGCCGTTCATGAATTGTCCATATTTGATTACTGAGAGTAACTTATTAACTTTTAAAACCTATAGTTCGAATCATATTTAATTTTACTATTGTAGACCTTTTGTCTTATGGCTAAAACCGGTTGTTTTCATTAGTAGAAAAGAATTTGTGCTAAGGGTGTTAGTGCCCACCGTTATATATTTTTTAAAGGAAATTATTTTTATTTTTCTTATGGGTATAGCATAGGTCATAGTTAATTTTACCGTTATAGCACTTTTCTGTTAATACCGAGACCGTCTATTTTATCAACAACACATATATTCTACATTTATTTTATTACCGCTATTAAATATATATACATACCGATTTCACCCTCGTGCCATTTGTTTTATTTTATTTATTACTTATTTATTTTATTTTGTAAATATATTTTTAATTATAATTCCTGAGTTTAATTTTGAATTACTCCTTTACTTTTCCGTTTTCAGAGCTTAGGTACTAATAGGTAAAAGTGCAGTGAAAAATTTTATTTACTTTATTACCCCAGTGTAGGTCAACTAAACAGTGAAGGTCTGGTCGTTTTATTTATTTTTTTTTGTTTGTACCTGGACTCCACTGAGTCTGCTGAGGGTGTACTCTAAGTGCACCCCAGGGCCGCAGAGTAGACTTTTCTTTATTTTTAGAGACGAAGAAAAGGGTCTCACACACTATAGGTTTGGTTCCATCTTTAACAGCTACCCTGTATAAAAAATGCTATGCAATAGCTTTACCGCGGCTGTCCCCGAGTGCCACATGTATTTTTTATCTAGTTTAAATTAGGATATAATTAATTTGAATTAGAGAATAATATAACTTTTTCATAAATAAATATTTATTATATATTTCCTACAGAAATTAAATTTGTTTATAATATTTTATTATACATAAAACGTATACATCTCAAAAATAAGAACACACTTAATTCAGTTCTAAATATAAAGGTAAATAACAGTTAAATAAAGTATCAAAATATATATAAATGCGAAATATATTTCCTTACATTCAATCTATAGAGACCTAAAGCTAAGCAATGATTTATAACCAGACTCAGTGAAACAACCCACTTTACTTTTGTATTAATGATATTTATTTATATCCAGAAGACTGGAGAGTATTTAAAGGAGTACACCAGAATATAATTAAAGATACAAGTGGATAAAGGTGTCTGATTTCCAATTTTGATAAATAACGGCTATTCATCAGATAGGAAGGTATCACGAGCTATATATATATATATATATATATATATATATATATATATATATATATATATATATATATATATATCATAATGCAATTGTCAAACTTTAAACTTTTTTTCTCGAAATAATATTTTTCTGTCATGACACCTTTATCCACTCGTGTCTTCAATTGTCAAGAAATCGATTTTTTTACAAAGTTACTCACCCTTTTCAGGTAGGTATTCTGGCGTAGCCCCTTAAATTAGTTTTTAAACTCGTGTCATGTTTTTGCTTAAGTCAAGTTCTCTTTAAGGATATGTGATTTGTGATATCTTCTATTTTAAAACGCTTTGAAGAAAGCAAAGAACAGTACTACAAAAGCTTCAATCGGATTTATTTACTAAAAAAAAACTGTCCATTACTTTCTTTCATGCGAATTTGATATGATATAAAGTCTCACTCTTTTTTTAAACCATTAATTATTTAAAAGATTCAGAATATCAGATCAATAGTTTGTAAATATGTATATAAAAGTCAAGATGACAAAATAATTAACAGTGTTTACCTTATTCTATAGTAATTCATCTGATATATTAACTATATTTAACAAAACTACAATGTAGACGCTATATTATTAAGGCTCTAAGTTTTATCACACTGCAAGTAGAAATGTCTATCATATGAATTATTTCAATATTATAAGTATAATTCACAAGCTAAAATCATTATATTAGGGGTGAAGAGATGTGGTGAATTATCTTGCAAATTAATGAAAAACTTTAACAAGCAATAACTAATAATAATAATAATAATAATAATAATAATAATAATTTACAAAAAAAAAGAAATACAAACGCGAAGTTAACAAGATTAATATAACTAACAATAACGGTGGCAAAAGAACGTTGACAAAACAAAAAAGAAATACAAATTGTGAGCAAGGTAGAAATTTTGTTGAAAAACCATATTCTCTTTCCATTAGGTAAACCACGAGAGTATGCTATTTAGATATAAGTGGAAATAAATATATTCCCAAGTAGTGTGGTCAAAACTTATTAAAAAATACTTTCATTATACCACATTTAATTCAACTTATTAGAAATTTTAAATGATTTTCGACATACATCTCAGAAACCCTAGATGCATCATCCAAAACAAATTTTGACCCCCTTCACGCTGGGCGCCACGATAACTGAGTTTTAAGGTGGCACTACTGATAAGACAGGATCGGCGCAAGGTTTCGGTAGAAGATATAAATGAGTAACTTTTCATGTGAAACTGTTCACAAAATTATTTGTCTTTGTTAATAAATAATTTTTTGATGGTTTATTGCATACCATACCAAAACATTTTTCGGAATTAATGGTTGATAGCTATAGAGATACCATTGATAATTGTTTGAAATCTCGCCTAAAATGTCACATTTCGCGCATGTAATGGTCGATCGCGAAACACTGCTTCGGTCGAGTCGACCAGGAACATTGCAAAAAATATTGGCCTTTTGGGGCATTCTAAAATTAATGTCTTGATAATATTGAAATAAAATTTCAATTTGTATGAAATTTTTATTTATGATTTATATGATTCGTAAATAACTATTATTACACATGAGAATAAATCCCGGAGTAATGCAGTCTCAATATTTTTTCAACAAACCACATATACCTGTTTCCCCAAGAAGTTTTTTGGAATCAATAACATACATGGTGTCCCTTTAAGAATGGGACTTGGAGCAACTGAAGATTCCCATTTAAAATAAGACGATTAGACATGCTTGGGTAAAATCTTACTCGTTTCCAAAATACAAGGTGTTATATTTAAAAAATTCAAAAATCATCAATGGCTAGGTATATTTTTTTTTATCCATTATAATTTTACTAAATTCGGCAAACGTTTTTGGTGTCATAGATATATTTATCAACATAAAAATCTTTTACATGAAATTTGCCAGTGGCGAGTGGCATGGAAAAGTAACTCCTTCATCCTTTTAAATTTGACGTTTTTCTCTAAAAACTCATTTGGACTATAATTTTAATTTTTTGATGTTTTTTAAATAAATTATGTACTCTTGTTGGGAACTTCTAAAGTAATTAGACTCAAAGGTAGATACTCTTTATTTAAATTTATTTTTTATTTTGATGTTTTAATTTTTTTACTAGTTTTTAAGAGTGCATGATTTATATAAAAAAAAAACATCAAAAAAATTTAAAATTATAGTCCAAATAAGTTTTTGGAAAGTGGCGTAAAATTTAGAAGGGATGAAGGTGTTGCTTACCCATGCCTACGCCACTGGCAAAGTTTAATTGATTTTTTTCTGATATGTGTATCTTATGTAAAATTTACTAAAATTATATTGAGTAATAAAAAAATTACAACCATTATTAATTTTTAAATGTTCAACTTTATCACCCTGTATTTCGGAAACGAATAACATTTTACCCTTCGATTTCACCTAAGCATGTTTCGCTTAATCTGCTCATTTCTAATCAGAGAAATTTCAGTTGTTTCATTCTTATTATCAAATAATTACCTTATGGTCTCTGCCTGTGGATCCAAGGGTCCCAGGTTCGAATCCCACCGTTGGCCGGGATTTTTTTAATTTAATTATTCAAAATTAATTCTGATGCCTTGGTAGGATTTCCCACTCGGCCATTCACTGTTGGGTTCTAATTAACAGTGTTGTTCCTAAAGTGGCGCTGGGAAACAGTAACAAAGCCTACACAGAACAGTTGATTAGCAGTTGATGCCGATGACACAAAAAAAATTACATTATACTGTCACCTTACGGCGAAAAGCAAGAACTAAATACGATTGGTTATTAAAACTAAAGCCCATTCAAAAGCGTGTGGGTTCGCATGTTTATAGACACTACACAAAAAAAGGGAATGGCCGCCACCCTCGATCCTTCGTACTCAAAGCGCGAGAGACATCTCTCCAGATCATACTGAAGGTGAACAATTTCCAATAAATGGTTCTGATGTTTCAAAATCGATAACTTGACCCATGGACCCTCTTCTTTGATGGGTAATCACCATGAAATAGAGTAATTTAAATCTAAACTAATATTGGTTAAAAAAACATGTTTAGTTCGTACTTGAGTCGGGCAACACCCTGTATACCTCTAAATAATTTTATGTGGCCTTCAAGCAAACCTATAAATTTTGTTAATGCATTTTTTTAATATCTCTTACAACAAGGAGGATATCAAACTGTTTTAAAAGATTAGTACGTATTACTTTTTTACTAAAAAGCTCTATTAGAGCATTTTTGTTAAAGCTTCGACAAACAATTAATTCTACCAGATTTCTTTCGCCCCCATTCAGTACTTTACGTAACAAAATATAGTAATTTACAAGCAAATGAATTCTACGTACCATAATTATTGTTTTATAATAAACTCAAGAGTAAAGTATATCAAATTTTTTGACAAAACTCGCATAAGACTGATAAAATCTGATATCAGATGATTGTATTTTAGGATTTAGACCATGCACAAGAATAACTTTTTGTAAATTGTAAAAAAAGTTTTCCATATGCCTCCAAATTACGTAGACACATTATACATAAACACAAGGCAAACTAGTAATTTTGGAAAATGTGTATCACTTATTATTTATTTGTGACTGACTCTGTATCAAGATAAGTGTTAAAACAAAGAAAAATAAACAAAAATATACATATGATATTCTTAACTAGAAGAGTAGAACAACATAAAGTAATAAATAATTTTATAAAATGTATAAAGATGAAACACCTACTTAAAAAAAAAAAAAATGATTAAATTTATTTAAAACGATTTCGATCAATATTCGATTTTCATTTTTAAAATCCATAAATTTTAACAAACTAATTTAATATGTACCTATTAATAAAAATACTTTGTTTTTAATGATTATCATTCTAGGAACGAAATTAACTTTTAGGCTGATATTTTTATTTAACAAAGTTAATATTTCTTTTTTAAATTGAAATCGGCAATAATACTGGCATAGTATTATATTTTCTTAAAATCTCTTAGAAAACGTTTCCGATCGTTTTTGTGCTTGTATTTTTGCGATGCAAAAATTGATCGATTTAAAGGAGTTCCTTTACCTCACTCAATTTTTTTGTTCTTAATAGGAAGTCGCAAATTTTGAAAGAAATTCTTCTTCAAACTTTCAACTAGGTTCAATTAGGAAATTGAAGCATTACAATATTTGATATGCCAACAAATTATCATGCTGGTTTATAATCTAAATTGATTAGCTTGTAGATACAGGTTTAATACTTATGTGTATCAATAATGAAGAAAGTTCGATATCTTCACTGTAGGCATTCTTTAACCAAACACTCCTGTATCCGCTTCTTATACAATTCACCTAGAAAAAGAAAAACATTATTTTTTTTTCAAACAAACCTCGAATTTTTATTTTACATGGCTTTGTTACTATGTACAATGTAAAGAACCGATGGACAAACATTAATAGGGAAGTGATTATTGCACAATGACAATTTTTATATTCATAGTCGTTCACTAGAAATTTTTAATGAAATAAAATTTGTCTCAATAATTTTTTTTATAGGAAAATTTGATTTGCAAATGTTTTACATTTATTTATATAGGATGTTTATTGAGTGCCGAGACTTAAGGGTGTGAATCCTTGGGTGATTTTAAGAAGAAAAGTTAATACAACTTATGTCGTAAAAACTTCTTAATTTTTGAGTTACAGGGTGTTATAGTTTAAAGAACAAAATAACTTTTTTATCATAATTTTCTTATCACTACAGATATTTTTATGAAATTTTGTACACACCTTTTGATCATTAAGGAGCATTTTTTGACGTAAGAAGTTTTTTAAATTTATACCAGTGACGTCCGTACGGGGCTTAAATTGAATATTTTTTAAGAAAAAACTGGTACACCATTGATTTTTCTAAAAACTAAAATTATTTTTGAAATCCTAATTTATTTTGTAGCAAATTTGGTCAATAGATTTACTTTCGTATGACGCACCGTTTTCGCTTGAAATAATAAAAACCAGTTCATTGAAGCTGCTTTTGTAATTTTATTGAAATTTGGTAGAGATAGTAGTTTGTACAACAAGAGTGGACATGGTCAATCCACTCGAGTTGTACAATATAGTTTTTTTTCTAGCGAAAATCTACAAATTTAAAAAATCATTTTAGGTTATTTAGACAAAATAACTAATTTTAAAATAATTTATAAATTTTACTTATTTATATTCGCGTGGAAGGCAGAAGCTCTGTCCACAGCTCCACCGCCACTTTTACGATTTTAGTTTTAATACTCGTAAATAAATTAGTTTCATATAGTTTGATTAATTTTTTTTTTTTCAAAATATGGACCAAATAAAAATGCTATTATTTAATAATAATAATAATAATAAATCGTCTTTATTATTTTCAAATACACAGTAAACAATTATAAATTACAACAATTATATTATTTGGCGTAAAATGCGTAAATGAAAATAAAGGGCGAAGTTTATTTTTATTGTCGAGTAGACAATAAAAATATTCTTCCACTTAACCCTTTATCGATTCTACACAAAAATAACTCATTTTAATGTATATTTAATCTCAATAACTAAATAACTGACAATTAGTTTGACAGAATTTAAAAATAATAGTAGCTGGTTTCCAAAATGTGAACTACGATTGGTGGATTTCAGTTTTTTGCAATGTTCCTACTGCCTAGAATGGATATGAAATATATTCGTTTAGTTAAATGCAATAGTATACTTTTTCATTTTGAAGTCTGTGCGTAGACGAGCTACTATCCATGTGGGTGTAGAATAACATTTTTTGGGACAAAAATTAATTTTCTACTTTCACAAATGACGTTCACGTAGGCATGATAATGAATATTTGAATAGAAAAAACGGTAAGTACATTAAATGGATTCTTAAAGCGAATTAAATAAAAATTAGTAGGCTGGGTAAAGCGTCATAATTTTTGACGTTTCTTTTCACAAATACAATAAAGTTGACATTGATTTTACTTTATTAAATAAAAATTATTAGAGTAAGAGGTAAAATCTGATAAAAAAAAATGGTAAATTTTACGAACACTGAGTTAGCTGACATGTATTTTACTTATAGGCTTGCAGAAGGAAATGCATACGAAGCCAGGCGGATATACCAAGAGCGGTATCCAAATCGCGTACCACCCGATCCAAGAAATTGTTCTAGGATTCATAGACTTCTTCATGAGACCGGAACTTTAAAAGTAGACCACAGGACTGAATGAGTCCATCAAACAGTAAGAACATCGGATCTTGAAGAAGCAGTTTTCATAAAAATTATTGAGAACCCCAAAACTAGCATGAGGAAAATGGCAGCAGAATTTGTTTTAGATGTACTTGTTTAGAAAATTATCATCGAAAATTTGCTATACCCTATAACATTCAAAGAGTCCAGCATTACTCTCTAGAGATTTCCCGTTGCGCATTAATTTGTGTGGTTTTTTCAAAACCTGCTGGAAAATCCGTTATTTGACAAGTACATTCTTTTTACTGAAGAAGCTAATTTTTCTCGAATCTCAATAATAAATTTCCATAATAAGCTTTTATGGGCGGATGAAAACCCTTATGCAACAGTTCTCATTAAATGTTTGGGCTGGCATTATTATGATTATTATTTTTTCTCCCAAGATCTGCCACCAATGCTTGAAGACCTTCCGCTGTTATTAAGAAACCAGATGCGGCTAAGGCACGATCACGCGCCTTCACATTTTAGCTTGCGAGTGTGTGAATTTTTAAATCGCACCTACGCAATTGGAGGATAGGTTGCGGTGCAACAGTCATGGCCGCCTATATCTTAATAGTTTAGACTATTTTTTCTGGGGGCATCTGGAAAGCTTAGTATACGCAGTGCCGATTCAAACCGAAGAAGAGTTACGAAACCGTATAATAGTATGCTGCCAAACCATAAGACATCTTTGAAAATGTGCATCAATCTTTGCCTTTAAGAGTAGATGCTTTCATACGTGTGGTTGGAGGGTACTTCCAACAATTACTGAAAATAATAAGGATCCTTTATTTTGTTTGTATTCTCTTGTCATTTCGCTTTAGATTTAAGATTTTGAATTTAGGAACAAAAACTTCAGGAAATATAGGGAGTGTAACACTCGAAAATTCTCAAGAAATCAGACACTCACAGACTTAATAAACACTTTATTATATACATCAGAAAACTTGATATCTTCTAATTCATGATTAAATAATGCCCGTTTATATGGAAGCAAGGCGATCAGTAGCGAAGCTCAGCAGTTACTAGAGGAACCTACTTTAACTGATGCAAATTTAGAAAAAGAAGAAGGACAAGAGGAAGTTGAAGAAGTCGAAGATGATGATGATTGATTGATGATGATGATGATTGATGATGATGATTGATGATGATGATGATGATTGATAATGATGATGATTGATAATGATGATGATTGATGATGATGATTGATGATGATGATTGATGATGATGATTGATGATGATGATTGATGATGATGATTGATGATGATGATGATGATTGATGATGATGATGATGATGATTGATGATGATGATTGATGATGATGATTGATGATGATGATTGATGATGATTATTGATGATGATAATTGATGATGATGATTGATAATGATGATTGATGATGATGATTGATGATGATGATAGATGATGATGATTGATGATGATGACTGATGATGGTGATTGATGATGATGATTTATGATGATGATTGATAATTGATGATGATGATGATGATTGATGATGATGATTGATGATGATTGATGATGATGATTGATGATGATGATTGATGATGATGATTGATGATGATGATTGATGTAGATGATTGATGATGATGATTGATGATGATGATTGATGATGATGATTGATGATGATGATGATGATAATGATGGATGATGATGAAGAAGAAGAAGAAGAAGAAGAAGAAGAAGAAGAAGAAGAAGAATAAGAAGAAGAAGAAGAAGAAGAAGAAGAAGAAGAAGAAGAAAAAGAAGATTAAATCTGTTTTAAAAACTACAAATTAGAAAATTTTGTGGTTAGCATTAATTAGCTATTATTTATTATATTTTTAAAACTAACTGAAATAATTAATAATTCGAAATATTTCAATTTCCTACCTTTAAAAAATCGATACCCCCCTACAAACTTTCACACCCTCGTTTCCCCCCTTAAAATGAAAAAATCAAAAACCTTGAATACGTCATTATTTATAAGTAGCTATTATTCCAGTTTTCCAGTTCATCCCTTTAAAGAAATCGATACTCCCATACACCCCTCCCGTTTCTCCCCTTAAAATGTGATGTTTATATAATCATTCTAAGTGGGTGTCTACGTGGAGAAATTTCAAGTCAATCGGGCTTAAAGTTTTAGAGATCTCATGATGAGTCAGTCAGTGTTATTTGGTATTTCGCTTATATATTTTTAGATATAGGTAGTGTGGAGACCAAACGGAAGAGCACTAGTCAAGGTGGGGTCTGACTAGCGAACAATAAAGAACTTTTTCTACACCCGTATTATAATAATGCACTTATATGCCCATAATCCGTTTCATAATGATACCCATTATGATACAGATTTTTCATTATGATACAGATTTTTAATCAATAGAAACCTACTATTTTTCAATCAAGCATGCTGTTTGACGTTTGTCCTAGGTTTCTATGTAATTGTTTTAGTTGTCAAAACGTATTAAATTTTCGTAGATAGCTAAACTTCGATAATTATAATATTAAAATGTCTCATATCAGCGATATAGAAGACTCTTCCACACATATCGGAGAAAGCAGAAAATACAGTACAAAATATTTTGCAGCAAAAATCTAGGGAAATACCAATACCCGAAGTAATACCATTAATTACAATTTTGTAGAATTTTTTATAGAAATACGAGTAATTACTGTTATTGTGTTCAATACCAATATAAATATAATATTTATAGGTCTTGATTATTTATCGGGTGTAGAAAAAATAGCGTATGCAACTCTCATGTAATGGTTATTAAAACACTCGCATAGACCATACGAATCTCGCCTTTGGCTCGTTTCGTATCCCGGTTAATGCTCGTGTATTAATAACCATCATTACATGATCGTTGCATAATATACTATTAATTGCAGTTGTGTCAGTAACAATTTTTGAATCGTTATTTTTTAATACTTTTTCAATAATTCTTTAATAATATTTTGTTTTAACAATTTTTTTAATAATTTTTTAATAATCTTTTATTTAATAATTTTAACCAAAACGCGAACGTCACTGTACTTTTTATTTCGTTTAGTAACTAAGCAATTCTGCCTCTATTAATAAAAAGTATCTTTGTACAACAATCCTTTTTATAATAATTAACCAAGCCTTGGTAAAAAAAAATATTGAAATACACTGGTACTTACAGGATAAGTAGCTTGGCCAATAAAATTGGGTTCACCAAATACATCTTCGTCTTGTACAAGGAACCTCAAAAGAGCAAAATGGGGATTCGTTACTATAAATTCGCAAATTTCTTCATTCCACTTTGGATTTAATCCATTGTCCAAAATGTGTTTGGTGACAAGTTTTACTCCAGAATCATATACAGCGCCAATTACTTCCACTTCTACAAATGGACTAGCTGTTCCTTTTTTCAACCTAAAATAAATGGTTTAATTGATCTTTAGATTGTCAGTAACGGAGCCGATCCATTTTAGCTTGAGACAATCAAACGCTGTGGAAAATTTCTGAGACAAATTCGCGCCAAGACCTTCGAGCATATGCCAAGACAAATACATCACAGACAAGATTTAACGCCTGACGTCAGCAAATAACGTAAATTTTCTGGAGATGTTAAAGTTAGTTAAATCATTGTTAGATTAGGAAAGAAATTGATCTCAAAACTGACTGTGGAACGCAGCGTTTAATTTCAGAGTTTTTTTTTTTTTTTAATCTGATAGCTTTATCATTTGTCTTCTGTCTGTTAAATAACTGTTAAACCATTGCAATGTTGTAGTTTAAAAACCATAAATTAATAGTTTTTTAAAAGTATTTCATGTCTAACGCAGTTAAACGCCTTTGAAAACTCACAAAATATTGATGCACACATTTCACCTTGATTTAGAATAGGCATACTCTAAAAAAGAGAAAACATTATCTTGTGCGTTCTTCAATGATTGAATACCAAATTGACAAGTAGATAAAATTTTATTTTGTTGGTAATTCAACCATCCTATAGTCCAGGAGGCAGTGAATTGTTTTCGTACTTATTTTCCCAGTCGGTGTAAATGTAAATAATCAGTTCTCTTAGTGACAAAAACAAAATTTTTGAATGTGGCTAAAATTTTTGGATGGATTCAAAAAATAAAAAACAATAAAAGTCCATTTATTTTACCAATCATAAATAATTTACATTTACTAAAGTAAAACATCAAGTTTATAAAAATCTCAGATAGCAGAAAAAAAAAATTGACGGATTTTGCGGAACCGTAACCCTTATTTTTCCAGGCTTGAAATTTAGCATATAAATTGATACAATCATATATAAATCAAAAAAGTCTGGCTGATTTACGAAATTGGCAAATGAGTCTGGCAGCATCTTCAAAATAGGAAAAATAGCAAATGTTTGCTCTTATTTTGACAATTTGACACATAATAGATTATACTATAATTTTATAGAAAATCCACGTCCGACTGACATTTACAATCACGAAGGCCTTGCCAGACAGACAAGCCAGGTAGTTAAATGTGCCAAATTTAGCGCGCCTGACCATCATTAGATGAGTCTGATCAAGCTTTCGGGGTGTTCCACATTATCCAGATTGTATTTGAAGCTCTTATCATAATATAGGCCATCATCTAAAAAATTTTCATGACTATAACAATGAGGGAAATTTTTTTGATTACAGATTAGCCAGATTATTTTTTTTTACTTATATTCAGTATATCTCTTACTACTAGAACTATTTTTAACACTGGAAAAAAAAGGACCTTGTTCTCATATGTTCTGACGCATTTTCCGGATCAACCCATCGGACCCCCAAATATATATAATTTTTGCTTAGAATTACTAACCCTATAACTCTATACGTGTTTGCTGAATGTGAAAATCGTCACTGCCTCTTGGACTACTACTTTTTACAAGTCTTTCAATGATTTTAGATAAAGTAGGAAGTAATGAAATTGGCCCTTAATTCGAAGGATTATCCAATCGAAATGGTATAATTTTAAGAGGCGTGTTAAAAAATACAGTAAATAATGTTATTAGAAACAAAGAAATAAGTTTACATTGAATTCTTACTTATCCCAACGTTGAATCCATGACTGGAAGCATTTCTGGAAGGCTTCATTTGGAAGGACATTCAGCTGCTCCGTTGTGATCCTCTCAATGCTAGAAATGGTGTCAAAACATTTTCCTTCAAGCACGGTTGAGAAGAGCCAGAAGTCCCATGCTGCTAAATCTTTTAATCTTTTTCCGGCCAAAAAACTCGCCAATCAAAAGCAAAGTGTAGCACAGCACTTTGTAGTGATAAACCATTTGACCATTTTTCTGGTCTTTTTTCGTACATCGTTGCAGTTCCTCTTGTAAAATTCGATGTTTACAGTTGTTCTCTTTGGAATAAACTCTGATCGAGCTATATATTCATTATAAAAAAAATAAGCTGACTTTGATATTCGATTTTGACCGACGTGTCTTTTTACTGGTATTTCATTAGGAACTCTGAATTTTTGTTTCCAGTTACAATTTTGAACGTGAAGTCCGGATCTGAATGAAGACGATTCTTCAACTCAGTGCAAATTGAGAAACAATTTTCCTTCTGTTCTATTCTCAAAAGTCGGCAACAAATTTTGAACTCACTCGACTTATTGGTAAATTTATCGGTAAAAATGCTTTGCACCGACTCGTACGAGACCAAGTTCTTCGGTAAGCTCTCGAATAGTTATTCTCCTGTTTGAACGAACAATATATGCCACATTTTGAATATTTTCTTCTGTTTTTGAGCTTAATGGACGTCTCCAACGTTGTTCGTCTTCTGCCGACTCAGTTCCGCTTTTAAATCGCTCATACCACTTGTCAACAGTCTTCAGATTCTGCGAGGAGGAGGGCGAAACCTTCATTTTGAGAGAGGCGCCCCAGTATGGCTGTACAATCCCAAGCGCCGAATAGGAGACTTTGTTAGAACCTGCAACGAAACTGGGAAGGCCTCTACACCGTCCTCAAAAAAATCAACGACCTGATCTATCGCATTCAGTTGTCAGCGGGAAGTAAACCCAAGGTAGTTCACATTGAAAAGTTAGCGCCAGACCATAATGCAAATCCTCCCCGTTAGCTCCAAACATGTCCCAATAATCAAGTCATTCGGGAAAAATAATTAGAAAGGAGGGAGCAATGTTACCCTGTCCCCTGCAGTAACCTGTGGCTGTTATAGGTAAACGTACGAATAAAAAGGAGAATAGTCTAGAAATATCATTCTATGTCAAGAAACAACTGGAAGTATCGAAAAAATCACAAGAGCTATATAAGGCTATGATCTTGACGTCACAGTTCAGTTTTATGATAGCCGTTGTACATTCTGCCGTGTTAATTCAAATGGCCGTAACTGCAATTTTCCTTGAAATAAAGATAGAACCACTACGCCTGACAACAATAAATTTTTTGTTTATCTTTTATATTTTCATGAATATATATTCTATAAAATCTGAGATTTAACGCATAGAAATTTTGGCGTAAGTGATTTTTCTTGAAAAATCGATTTTTCTCACTCACTCTCATTTATTAAACAGATACGGCCATTTGAATTGACACGGCAGCATTAATGTTAATAGTTGTAAAAGTTTAAGTTTGGCAATAAATTGAGTTTACCAAGAACCAGCGTAACAATACAATAATAGTGATTTATTTATTAATCACACACCATGTACCGGTATTTATAATTCGTTATATTTTGGTTTATCGATTGACTTACAAAAAACGTGAATTGAAAGAAAGTAAAATGACTAATAGCCATGAATTAAAATTAACCAACCAGATCAAGGGATTGATTTTCAATGCTGCTAAAAAGATGCTGCGAAGCTTGCCCCATTCAATTCCGATTGGTTAAAACAATGAGAAGGTTACAATTTCACACTTGCAAAATAAAGATAGATTAACTTATTGATCTTTGTATCGAGGCATATACAAAACTGCTAGAACATTCTCTGCGCTTCGAGTGTTTGATTTTAAATATTTCAGGGATATATGTACATAAAATATTTACTGGTAATGAATTTATGTGTGATTCCAATTATTGATTCACTTTATATTTGCCGAAACTTAAAAAAAGGCAAAATACTTTTAAATCTTCGGTAGGTTGTGTTAAGTTTATTTATTTATCGAAATTCGATCACTCAAGACTCATTTTCAATTATATTTAAACCCGATAGTAATTAAATTATTCTTATTTAATAACAGAATAGAACCGGCGATTGCTGCTTATGGTCAACTTCTTACTCAGCATGTCTGGACCAATCAAAACATTCGCAGCGCTCGTTGGTCAGTGGCGCGGCTCGTAAATTTAAAAATATAAATTAATTGCTAACAGTTGTCAACATCCATCATTCAGTAAATTGATGAATTAAAAAAAGGGCAATCCCATTTAAAGCATTCTTATCACCAGTTATAAAAGTGAATATTATAGGAAATCAAATAGGAAGAATTCTAAATATTACTGATTTAATATGAGCTTTAAAACTTTTATAGATGATTATAGCTAAGGAATATTAAAGAATATTTAACATTCCTTTTTTCTAAGTTTATCATTTATTCGTGAAAATGTAAAAAAAGTTCAGAGTGTTGATCATAAAAACATAAATTAAAGTTTCATCTTGTATGATTATAATTTAAGGCAGTATTACTAGTCGCTATTTGTTATGCACTAATTTCCCTTGCTTTTTTTCGACCGAGCGCTAATTTGTCTCAAGAATGTTTCCCAGCTAAATTGGATCGAATTCGTAAATAACTAATTTATAACTGTTTTGAAGCATAATTTATAAATAAAATACCTGGACAAATGTCTTCCAGCTATAATCCTAATAGATATTTTTAATGGTTCCACACCAATTAAAGAATATTTGTCATTAGGATCAAACTCGTCGTGGAACATAAAATCTGGCTTCAACAAATATCCACAATTGCCATTATCTCTGAATTTCGCTTGATTCAGTTGCATTGGCTTGTCGCCAGTTTGAAAATTCAATGCAACCATTTGGGAACCACAATTCCACATATTTATGGGATTGTAATTTGAAGAGTCAATTCTTTGACCCTTGGGGTATACCTGAAATAAAGATTCTCATTTTGAACACTCATATTATTTTAATAAAAATTTAATTACTTACCCTAGAAAATTGGTGATGATGATATTTCAAGAAAAACTTCCTTTCCTGTTGGCAAATCAACTTTTCTGCCTTATTTTCCGGAAAAGAAGACATTTCGTAAAAGAGGAAACCTTGTTGTTTAAGTTTTTCTAAATTGAAAGTTGTTGACTGACAATAGATTATAAGATTCGACATTTCTTTTGCGATTTTAAAGGCTCTCTCCATTTCACGATGCTGAGTTTCCAGACGAGTCGCCATTTTAGAAACTTTCTCAATAGCAGAACACCAATCACGTGCCTTAAATAAATAAAATTATTTTATAAACTTCGTTTTTTTTTTGTGAGAATGTAGGCTTTCACGGCCGCCGTCATTGTTGTTTGTTTCCAGGCTGTTATGCCGTGGTCTTTGTTGGTTATTATCACCAAACGTTTCACTTGCAACTGCGGCAGCCATCTTCAGTGGAATGGACGAAGTACTCTTCTCAACTGAAACTGAAACCTCCTTTGCTCAGAGTGCGGTACTTATATGCGTGTCTGCGCGCTCTTTTTTGGCGTGATTGGAATTAGGCGATTTCATTTTCTCGCTTTTTAATGATGTGGGCCAGATCCTATGTAATGTTGTTTTTTCTTTCTTCCTATTGAACTTGATGTTGCTAGTAGGTCGGTGTTTTCAAAAAGGTTCTTGTGTTCTCCGTCGGATAATGTGTGTTCGACGACTGCAGACTTCGACGCGCAGACACGTATATAAATCCCACACTCGCAGCGAAGGCGGATTCAGTTTCAGTTGATATGTCGAGAAGAGTACTTCGTCCACGCCACTGAAGATGAGTGCCGCAGTTACAGCTGAAACGTTTGGTAATAATAACCAAGAAAGACCACGGCATAACAGCCCGGAAACAAACAATTGCAACTTCGTTTTCTTCTTCCATTTTAATATTAATAAATAATAGTAGAAACATTATTTTATAATGTATTAGTATTTTCAAAGGTAATATTACGAATCCTCCACATTTTATAGATAAAATTTAAAAGGACGAGTGGTATTTGAAATGATTATTTTTTGAATAAATTTGTATGAAAAAGGCATAATATTGAATTAATAGTTTATTAAATACAGAGTGGCCCAAAAGTCTGGAAACGGCCAATTATCTCGTAAATTACTAGTCCTAATTGTACAAAATTTGGGGTACACCTATTTTGGGATATGGAGATTTCAGATTTGATATTTGCAATGTTGCCAGATTTGCCGTTTCTCTTATATTATAAGTCACTTTGGTTTTTTTAAATTCATCACCCTATATATTCAGTCATTATTGGAATCTCCTATTCAATACGAGTTCAACGATATGTAACACTTATGATTTTATGTAGTCTGGAAGGTCTTAAATAAATAAAACAGAAGTCTGGCAACGTCGAATTGTCTCAATAAATTTTTTAATACAAACTATTTTCAACTACATTAGACGTAACAGTTGAAAGATTACAACATTTTTAACATAATGGTTACTTTATCAAGTGTTCAAAATGTGCTCCATTTGTGAGTTGACAGTACCCTAATCGATGGTAGAATGCCTATACCACATTTCTCCATGATTGTTTTATTTATTTGAGACCTTCCAGACTACATAAAATCATAAGTGTTACATATGGTTGAACTCATATTGAATAGGAGATTCCAATAATGACTGAATATACAGGGTGATGAATTTGAAAAACCAAACCAATATAAGAGAAACGGCAAATCTGGCAACATTGCAAATATCAAATTTGAAATCTCCGTATCCCAAAAAAGGAGTACCCCAAATTTTGTACAATTAGGACTAGTAATTTACGAGATAATTGGCCGTTTCCAGACTCTTGGGCCACTCCGTATATTAATATTTATTTTATAGTAATATAATTTCCTTTAATACTCTAAAAAAATTAAACAGTATGGCAACAACGTATTACTGCAACAGTTGGAGTGTGCCGGGCATGCACAAAACCGAGGCGAGATAAAAGCTATTTGTGTATCAAGAGCGGAAAGTGCGCGGCTCGTGGCTTATTCTACGAGGCACATCCTATATACGAGCAGAAATATTACATTGTATTCTATTAGAAATATATATTTGTATAAGTACTCGTATATAGTGTGTGCCTTTCAAAAGTAGCCTCCGTAGCCTCCTCGTAGACTAGGCCATAAGCCGCGCCTGCTTTCCAGTTCGATTTAAAAGTGCAAAAGCCTACTTTGGATAGAGGTCGTAGAAAAATTAGATTACCTTTACCTTCGGAAGTTTAACATTTGCCAAAGTTTTTATTGTAATTTCCGTGTCATTAAAATGGAATAAGATATGCTTAATTTAGCTAATTATGAACTGTTTAGGAGTTTAGGTATTCAAAAAATTATGTTTAATTGACAAAAGTTTAGTGTCAGTTAGTGGTTGGGGTATTCCTGTGTATAAAAACCGTATATACGGAGTGGCCCAAAAGTCTGGAAACGGCCAATTATCTCGTAAATTGCTAATCCTAATTGTACAAAATTTGAGGTACACCTATTTTGGGATACGGAGATTCCAGATTTGATATTTGCAATGTTGCCAGATTTGCCGTTTTTCTTATAGTATTAGTCACTTTGGTTTTTCAAATTGATCACCCTGTATATTTAGTTATTATTAGAATCTCCTATTCAATACGAGTTCAACCGTATGTAACACTTATGATTTTCTGTAGTCTGGAAGGTCTTACATAAAACAATCATGGAGAAATGTGGTAAACGCATTCTACCATCGATTAGGGTACTGTCAACTCACAAATGGAGCACATTTTGAACACTTTATAAAGTAACCATTATGTTAAAAATGGTATAATCTTTTAATTGTTACGTTTTAATATAGTTGAAAATAGTTTGTATTAAAAATTTTATTGAGACAATTAGGCGTTGCCAGACTTATTTTATTTATTTAAGACTTTCCAGACTACATAAAATCATAAGTGTTACACATGGTTGAACTCGTATTGAATAGGAGATTCCAATAATGACTGAATATACAGGGTGATGAATTTGAAAAACCAAAGTGACTAATAATTTTAGAGAAACCGCAAATCTGGCAACATTGCAAATATCAATTCTGGAATCACCGTATCCCATAATAGGTGTACCCCAAATTTTGTATAATTAGGACTAGCAATTTACGAGATAATTGGCCGTTTCCAGACTTTTGGGCCACTCTGTATACAGGGTGTCCCGAAATTAGACGGTCATATTTTAACAACGTAATCTACATTCTAAAATAGTAGTAAAAGTTCATATAAACATAGGTCCGAAAATGTTTCGTTTTCGAGATACAGGGTGTTACAAGTGAAGTCCTGATGGCACATTTTTGTAAATATTTTCTAAAATTTCTTTAGTCACCGGTTTTCCAAAGTAAAAACAAATAAAATTTTTGCCTCCACAGGCCTACTAATTATTGTTTGCAATTTCGAATAACTTATCGGGACAGTGGTATAGCGGTCTATCGCGCTTATATTCATTTATAGGCAAGTTTATGAGTCTGAGACTGCTGGGTTTCGAATCCCAGACCAGACCATGTGGATTTTTAATTAAATTGCATGGTTCGGTTTAGGATTTGATGTGTGGCGTATTAATAGAAATTCAATTTCTGTTGATATGACATGCAGATTAAAAAAATTCGCCATACATTACCGTCTCGATGATGGTGGGTGAGGTTTTCCGGGTTTTCCTCACCTGTAAGTCAAATGGCACCATCAATCATCTTTAAGTCGCCCCGGAGCGCCACGGCAAATAATAATAATAGCCGTCCCTTCCCCTACACAAGTCGTTCAGTCGACTTCAGGGGTTGAAATTCACTCGTAAGGGGGTGAATTAGGGAGAGTATTATTATTATCATGAAATTTTCAAATGCTTTTCTCTTGAAAATGGTCCTAGCGAGATGCAACAAATGTAGCTTTATTGTAAAGAAAATATTGGTTTTTCAAAATTTATAGTCAAAAATGTTCAAAAAAAACTTAGGGCAATTTTACCCTAAGCCCCCCTTAATTTACCCACCTATGAAGATGATCAAAAACTGGGGTTTAGTCCATTAAATAGAGCGTAAAAAGGTTAGCATTTGTACCAAATTTCCCTTAGTTATCTTAAAACGTTTAGAAAATATTTACAAAAGTGTGTCATCAGGACTTCACTTTTATCGGAATAGAAACTTTTTCGGGCCTATGCTTATTTGAACTTTTATTCCTATTTTAGGATATAGATTACGCTGTTAAAATATGACCGTCTAATTTCGGGACACCCTGTATACAGATCAAACGTTAAATACATTGATTTCCGAATATATGGTTTTTTAAAATCTAATATTTGATTAAATTAAAGATAAACGTCTAACTTTGGTCGTCTGACTATTGCAAATTGATACATTTATTACTTTCAATAAAAACCAATCATTTAAAATAACCCTATTTTATACCATTTCAAAGGTACCGTTTAATACTGCCTATTTTATTCTAGAATTCAAATTAAGAAAAACAAATAAATAGTAAGACGACCTATGTTCAACCTTTATCGACTACGGTAGCGTAGGTGTCTACGGCGCGGCATTCATTTGCGAGCCAATTTTCTGGTAAACGAGACACGGTTTCGAATCCTACGGAAGACCATGTAAATTTATTTGCATGGTTCTCTATAGGATTTGAGATTTGAGAAATTTAATTTCTATTGATATGACATCCAGATTATTAAAAAATCACCATGCGTCACAGTTTTCGATGATATTGTGTGGGATTTTCCTCACCTGTAAGTCAAATGGCACCATCAATCATCTTTAAGTCGCATCGGAGCGCCACAGCAAATAATGTCCCTTTCCCCGGACAAGCTTAGCTTTTGGGGTTAAAATTCATTTGTAAGGGGTCAATTAGGGAGAGTATTATTATTTACCTACGATGTGGTTCCTTCAGGATATATACATAATGTATATTTTCCGAAATTTTCAAGTATGTTTTTTTTCCAACAATGTCAAAACGCTTAAAAATTATATTTTTGACAAAAATGGCCGTTAAATATTTAACTGAATATATGTTTATTTACGGAAAGCTATGTACTTTATTCACACGAAATATACAAGTAGAAAAGTCACGTTCTGAAAATTTATTCTTATGGGTCGTGGAAAATTCTCAAAAATATATTCAAACAGTTTATTTATTAAATTATTTTTTCATTTAAGCAACCTTGGCCGTAGATAATGATACTTCGTAAAACTTAATTTTTATTATTAAAATTTAAATTTACAAATTTGGGGCAAAATGTTTCATTCCCTTTGGTGTTTTAATTAGAAATAACACTATATGAGTATTGGAAAATTTATGTTGTAGTTTTTATTAATTTTTTTTAATTTGAAATATTGTGCTGTTATAGTTTTTTAATTTTGTTTCAAAGCTATTCGTTTATTTATCTACAACCATCCTTAAAAAATAGCAATTTGACACATTTTGACACTGACACGATTTATACACAATTTTAGGAACAAGAGACCACTGCTTTTTAAAGTTTTATTATAACACGCAAGTAACATGTTATAAAGTGAACAATTCAGTTTAAATACGCGGTTTTCGTGTGACGTAATCTGTCATTGATTTTGGTATATACGCTTTGAGTACATATTTATAGAGGTAATATTTAAATTGCAGCCGAAGAAAACTAAAAAAAAGTATGCCAAGATCATTAAATATGTTGACTTTTTGAACAAAATAAAAAATAAGAAAATATCGCGTTGACTTTTGACTTATAAGTACCTATATATATACTTTAATACTTTTCTATCCGTGATTACAAATTTTATGGCAAACTCGTATATATAATTTTGAATGATACTTACTTTATTGTAGGGATATTTATTTTTATCTAATTTATTTTTATTTACTTTTACACGTCATTATTTATTTATGATCAGTAGCTACAATTTCAATTTTCAAGTTTCTACCTTTAAGAAAATCGATACTCCCATTCTTATAAACTTTCATCCCCCACCCGTTTCCTACCCTTAAGATGTCAAAATCCTGAAATACATTATTATTTATTTATGATGGGTGGCTACACTTACAATTTTCAAGCTTCTACCTTTAAAAAAATCGAAACTCCTATACGAACTTTCACCCTCCATTTCCCTCGCTGAAAATGTAAAAATCCAAAAACCCTAAAATACATCATTATTTATTTATTAATTCCAATTTTCAAGTTTCTACCTTAAAAAAATTCAATACTCCTATACAAACTTTCACACCACGTTTTCCCCCTTAAAATGTGATGCATATAAAATCCGTTCTTAGTGGGTGTCTACGTCGAGAAAGGAGTAACTATGCCAAATTTCAAGTCAATTGAGCTTATAGTTTTGGAGATCTCGTGATGAATCAGTAGTATTTCACTTTTGGAATAAAGTACCGTAAACTGTGGCCTTGTGGATCTTAACTAATTATTAAGAAAGGCTAAATATAATTTTCCTGTAAACATCCAAGTTTTCATTCTACAGGGTAACAAAGTGAATTTCATAAATACATATTTATCTAAATATCTTCCCTTACGGTAAAGACTTTAACTTAAAAATATGTATATGTTAGTTATCTGTCATTATTAGTTACCACACTCTATTTCGATAAATTACGGTAAACCATTGGCGTTAAGAAAACAATTTTAATCCAAACTTTTTGAATACCCTATATTTAATAAAAGTTAGGATTAATAATTAATATTAATAATAAATTTAAAATTCTAAAACTTGGAAATTCAGAAAAATGCAGAATCACTTTTTTTGGAAGGTAAAGTTTAATTTTCACAATAACCATGAATCATACTGCGAGATTGGTGCTAAAGTTTACATATTGTTAAAAAAAATGTTAATTTTTTTTTCAATTTTTCCATCTTTACTCACTTATTACAAATATGTGCATGTTAACATTAACACATTGTATCGCAAACATTTTTTAAGAACAATAATTTTCAACAAAAAAAGTTTTGATAGAATTTAACGGTACTTACGATATCTTCGGATTCGACTGCACATTCTAATGGACCTGCTGTTGTTGGGTTTATCTTAATTATCCACTCCATCGGTTGTCCGGGATTCGGACAATAAGAGGCTAAAACTCCATTCATGTCCAAACTACCTTGTAATGTAGGTTCTCCAGACTGAAATTTTACAAATATTTTTTAATATGCATAAAATTAGTTTCTGAATTACGAAACGCAATACTAAAAATATAAACCATACAAAAAATATCTCCGATATTAAATTTTCCATTATTATACCGGGTGGCCTAGTATATTTGAACACATTTTAAATGTTTATCTCAAGAATTATTTGAGATATCAATGTCCGGTTTTAATTAAAGTTTTTCATGGCATATCTTCTGGTTATAGTATGTTTTTCTTTTAATTCATATATATTTTTAGCTGATCAGAAAGCTTAATTTTCCACTTTCTGAAAAGGCAGCATTTCTAAGAGTTTTTTGATTTCTTATAGAAATTAGAGAAATTTAAAATAATTGCTACGTTTCTATATAGTAACTATTGAATTGAATTAATAATTTAATTTTAGAAAAAAAAAAAAAAAAATAGAAAACGAATTTAGTTCAATAGTCGTTTGTTATTTTTATTTTACTTTTTAAATTAGTACACATGTTACATTTTTAGAAAGGGAAAAGACTAGGGTCTTCCATTTGAAATTACATAGCTCTATGTCATTTCCGGTTAAGCCGAAAGTTTCAGTACAATAGTGAAATATTGTAAAAGGTGTCCAGTGAGAAGTTGCAAATAAGATGAATACTTCTTATTTTCAAAACAGCCAAAACAACAACAGGGTGTTTCAAAAAGGTATGTCATAAATCCATCCTCAGATAGATTACCAAAAAATAAGTGGATTTGGCTATATTTACCTATATCAAAAACTGGCTCCCAACAAAGTTACAGGGTGTTAAACTAACATTCAGAAAAACGTTTTTTTTTTTTTTTTTTTTTTTTTTTTTTGTAAAAAGTTTCCCGTTGCGATTTTTTCTTCGACATTTTTGCCAGTGCTGTAGATTTGAAAAGGTCCAATATTCTAAGGAGAAAAAAAATTTTAAAGCGTTCCCTTTAAAAAAAGTTGGGAGGTTGGGTACCTTTTAACCCCCCCGTATTTTTTTTGACATAAAATAACTTGCTTTATCGATCTTAAAATCAAAAAGAACTATGAATTTTTAAAATTTTTTGATAGCGAAATGAACTTTGTATCTTTCTTATTTAACGAGCTATTTACAATTTTTTAACTGAATTTCTAGAGCAATTCGTCCATCCTAGACTTAACATATCAACAAAACTAAGAGTAGATCAGGAGTTATTGTACAAAACACGCATATAAAAATTAGTGGTGTGTCTAGGGCTTTGCTTGAACCGCCCCTGCAAAAACTACACCCTGTATATTACATAAATTACCATAATAAACTTCTAATAATGAAAAGAGGTGTCCCACAAGGATCTATACTATGCCCTCTATAATTTTTAATATACACCAATGATCTTCCCTCATATGAATTCAAATAACACAGAATTACTTACTACCATGTACATAGATGATACCAATTTCTCCTATCACTGCATCAACACATCTGACATAGTTATCAAAAACTTTAAGAATATGACTGAAGCTAAACAATGGTTTGATGGCAACGAATTATTTTTAAATCACAACAAAACTGAAACAATAGTGAAACAATGAACATTAAACTTACATGGAACTGTCAAATAAATAAATTATGCAACAAGTTAGGAACATTCACGTTTGCATTATGTAGAATATCAAATACAAAAGCAGCAATAACTGCCTATTATGGCTTACTCGATTTCAATCTAACATATGGGATTCTAACATGGGGAAATGGTAGTCTTTTTACTTCACTACAAAGAATTTTCATTTTACAAACATCAGCAGTTCACTTTATCCTACGGTCAAACTATAATGAAACTGTAATGAACCATTTGAATCACTATTTAAACAATTTAGCACAATGACCATGTTGTCACAAATAAGGCATTCCAACTTCCAACGACCTGTCAAACAATAGCTGAGCGTATATCTAAAGGGGTGGCGACATAGTCGTCCATCTTGGACGCTATTTTTAGTTGAAATAGTAGTCGCCAAGTCTGCCAATTTATGAAAAATGTACAAGCAGTTTTTTTAAATATTATTTTCATTGTGTTCGACATATAATATTTAAATTTAATCCATTATTGATGATTTCACGTGTTGCAGATAGAATACATAGTATGTCGCAACCCCTTATATATACCAACCCTTCCCACCGACAGTTATTTTGTTTGGAATGCCTAATAGTATTTGAAAACTTGTCACTCAGACAATCATACATACGATACCACAGGGAAAAATCAGCTAATCCAAACAAGAATTAGAATAAACAAGTCCCGAACCATAGGTATTTGCTTCTATAATGCACTTCCACACTACATCCGTAATCTACCAGGAAAAAAAAATTAAACGACAAATTAATGATATATTACTTGACATCTGTCTATATAACATTTACGATTATTTTGAATATTTATGTTACTTTTTTTTTATTTTTTGTTACTATTACCAATCCTTATCATCTTTTAAAATCCTATTTTATTTTAAATTTTATATGTTGTATATAAAATGTGGTATATTTTACTAGTATACTATGTGAATGTAACTATTTAATGGTTTAAGTACTGATAACTATGTAAACATTTTTGTATGTATATATTACTGAAAATAAAGTATTTCTATTTCTAAAACGGATATTGACATCTCAAATACTTTTTGAGATACACACATTTAAAATAGGTTCAAATATACTTGCCCACCCGGTATTATATTTGACCAATTGAAATAAATTTGTTTTTAAATAATCATACATTTAAAAATAGTTTAATATACATTTAAAAATAACGAGCGAGCAAAGAAATTGATCTAGAGCAGATCATGAGCCATAATTACATACGCCTTTGAATGAAATCCAAATTGTAATATAAAGAAGAAATATTGTAAGCTCCGACATGCGAAAGTCATTTCAAAGTACAAAATTATTTGCTAGTTTAATTTATTAATTTTTAATGATATGCATATTATTTTTCCATAATACTTTTTTTTCGTATTTTTTATTAGCGTCATTTACTAGAACTTTTTACTTACCGTTTCATCGACTTCTTGTGTTTCAGTTCTTTCAATTTCTCGCACCCGAATACTAGGGAAGTATCGTTGTCTTAGACCACCATAATCTCCCTTCCACCAACCGTCAATATCGGTGCTTTTATTTACGTTAGTAATAATAGCATGTTTGCAAAAAGATAATTCATCTTCTCGAGAAGCCTTGTAATCATAAATGGCAATGCACGTTACGTTAGAGTTGATACTGCTTGGATCCATATATGAAGGAGTTGCGTATGCAGACGCGTCATTCTGTTCCTAAAATAAAAAAAAATCTTATTCCGATTTTGAATGTGTGTTGGGAAGGGTGTGCATCAAACTTTTCTACTGCCTTTAGATATAAACTACTCAAAACAAAGAAGGAATCACTTTTAAAAATGTGGATATTTTTTTTACTGGAATGACTTATCACAATTATTTTTTATACATTGGACTTGTCTCCAAAAATATAGTACATTAAGTTGTAATTATTACATAACTTGTTTATGTTTATTTATAATTAATAATTAACGACATAAATAAGATTTAACAAAAAAATGTGGCTCCTTTTTCATTTTGAGTAATTTAATTATTCAAATAGCAAAATTTGCAATGTTAAGAAATTTTTATGCAAATTAGATCTTTTTAAATATAAAAATAATTTTAGAACAATGATATCTTTTAGATCTGGATGCTCTTAAAACATAATTTTATCCACTTAAATTTTGAGTTTTGGCTTTAATTGTTAATGTGGGTGCATTGGCTTTTTAGACAAAAATTGGACTATATTATTGTCTTTAAACACAATGTGATACCTTCCTACAAAAACTGTTAAAATTCAATATTTTCAAAATTATCACCAGCTTTATCTGCTATTTTTTTATATATTTATATATTAAATTTTATTATAATCAATACAATATTATTTAACCCACCACTGGTGTGTTTATGATACCTACTTACCTACCTACCTACCTACCAGAAAAAAAAGTAAGTATAAATAAACAATAATCAATGAAGAATTTACATCTAAATAAAAAGAAAGAACCTCCTAATTTCGAAAGATAATATAGTTCTCCTATGTGTTAATAAAAAAAACCTCTCTCAAAACCTTCTCAACAGATTAAAATATAATGATACAAAAGCGGGATTCCATGGTTAAGAGGCCAGAGTCAAAAAAACTTTAAATGGGATACAAATGGTTTTCCTATTATATAGACCCGTCATAATTTTGATGATTAGAACGTATAAAAAATCTCCGAGCATTAAACAATCTCTTAGGGTGAGTTCACTAAACCTGTTCAGAGCCAAGGATTAATTACAATCCAGTATATGGAATCTAACTTTAAGTTTATTAATGGTTAGGTAAAGTACCGACACAAAACTACTTTCCTTATTCGGTAAATAACAGGGTCGGTGTACAGTTCGGGGCTGGAAATAATCTATATTTTTTGGTTCGACCGGACTGGGCAAGGACTCGTAAATGGTGATTCGAAGTGCAGATAGGTCTCTGCAAGATCCAGTCTTAATTTCTATTTTTATTTAATATTGCGCCAGTTTGATGTACGAAGTGAAATGTTAGACCGGGAAGAAAAGATACGAACAGAAATGTTACGTTACTGCAGTGAATAAGCGTACGTAGATGACTGGAAAAAACTCACAAATTAGTGTCAGTTTAGGAGTTGCTAGACTTAGGGGTCTATTCTCTAACAATTCCTTTATATTTTAACGGCCGTTAAAATATTGAAGGCCTTTAAAAATATTTTCGTATTTACTAAATTACTTTTGTCACTCATATCGCACTATAGTCTTATGGGAAGTGAACTATATCACACGCGTATGGATAAGAATCTACTTTCCGCTAGTGTGTGAATATGAATCTACTTTCCGCATCAGCTGTCAAATATGTAGACACATCATTTCTTTTTTGATCTATGTAATATTAATAGTAAAATCGAATTGATGATTAAATTGTAAACATTGATATTTATACTTAGATCCCAGATATTTATTTTTAATAATAATTATTAAAAGAATTTAAAAGTAAATACAATTATTTTTGTTGTTTTTTTTTTGTTAGTATACATATTAGAATAGATAATTTATTTCACAGCCTGAGGGCTCAAATCATAGAGTGTTCAACTTTATCAACTCGCATGTCGCGACAATGTCGTGACGCGGGTTCAATTCCTGATAGAAGAAATCTTTTTTTATTTCTTTAGTAGGTAATGATCTTTAATAATTAAAAAAAAAAAAAATAAAATAATGATAAATATATTGCATTCTAATATTTTTTTGTACCAATGTTATTTTACCTTTATAATATTATGAGTGTTTGTAAATGAAATCACAATGGTTTTAATTTCGACAAAACACCATCCGCAAATACTTATCTAAAAACCAACCACCCCTTGATTGAACCTCCATAGCCAGATTTCCTGGTTTTACTTCTTTTTTTTTTCATGAAATTATTCAGTGATGTCGTAGGAAAAATAGTATACATTACTTGTGTACAAGTGCTTTTTCACACTCGGTAATGTAATATATATGGCCAGCCTGTTAAGAAATAAAAACTGTACCGTAGGTTTACAAATAAATGCCAAAGAAGTAAAAGAGGTAATTAACAGAGAAACATTTTTTCTACGACTCTTTACGAAAAGACGTATTTCGGATCCTAGCGAAAACTCTATTTCCGTCCTCAATAATTAGATAAAAAGATGCTCATCAAAATCTAAATGCGTTAGAGCTCGTTCGGACAACTTATTTACATGGCTTAGTGTAAACAACTAGGTAACGCGGTTGTCGCCACTCGGACTCGATACTCGACTTACCGAAAAATATATTCGCACGCCGGAATTCGCATAGATTACTATCGCGTATATTGAAAGCGTTCAGGGTATCTATTCTTGAATCTCAGGGAGTAGAAATTTTGAGGGAAGAATGAGACAAAAATACAAATTTTGCGCGTTGCAGATAAAGAGACAAAACCGGTTTTCTATTCCCTCGAATTCAAGAATAGTTACCCGGTTATTTTGTTTTAAGGAAGTCATGCTGTTTTGACATGCATAATGGATTGCTTAGACACTGAGCTGTTTACAGATGAGTCGAAAAAGGACCGACAATATGGGACTGTTGCCGATTATTTCAATAAAATTGCGAAGAACCGAATTTGGCAGAAGTTAGTGGCGTTATCGACATTCTAAAATAATTGAAGAATTTGGGTTCAACTTACTCTAAGTTGGGATATAAAGTAACAAATACACCATGTGACAGGCGATCACGTAATACTGAATGTACCCAATACTTCATTTCTATCTGCCCTTTATTTTATTTAAAAACAAAGAAATGTATATTGCTTCTTGAAATTCCATTTTTGAACTGTGATGATCAATCTCTCTCATGCATCAGCACGCTGGGGACACATGCCTGATCATGACCACTGAAAATTTTTCCGCGGTTTAAATCGCGCGTTTCAACCGCGCGGATTCCGCTGTGTCTGAACCTTAGAATAGATATAGTCAGGAAGGAGGAATCCTAAACGACCTTGGAATCGCGATGGTATCTAATTTTGACAGTGAACAAGTGTTTCCGGTCTACCAGTGACGTACTGTCATGAAGGGGCGTGTAAAAGAAAATAATTAATTCTCATATTATCTAAATTTACCGTTTTCTCTCATTTTAACGAATTGCTATTTTTTTGCGAGAAGCTTGCATTTTTTTATTAACCTTCATTATGTGAACAAATTTTACTTTAAAATTGCATGTTGGGTGGGATAAATATAGGAAAATATTTTTGGGATAATTTATAGAGGGATTTCATTTGAAAAATCAAAGCAATAATGTATTAAAAAAAAAAAAATATTGACTTTTTTACGTCTTTATTATGACAGTGTCTTTATCAATCTACATTTTACAAATTATTAAGGTTTGAAAAATAAATTATAAACCAATTTTAGAAACAATTTATCATATGATGATGAGTCATCCATAGTACAACATGGCTACCACTTCCGTCAGATCGATTAGATTAACGCGGACATGGCATGCTCCTTCCTGACTATATGTTCTAAGGTCTGAACGAACAAAATAAAATTATAAAAATAGTGTAAAATTTAAAACAACACATCTAGTTGTCTGATGTCAATTGTTTTGAAGCTTTATTATTTATGATTTTTTCTACACTCACAAGGATTAAAAATTTTACGGACAGACAGCAAAACGTAAAAGTATGCCATTGCCTTCTACTGAAGAGATATAATTTGATTTTATTAAGAACACTTTACTGATATGAAATCCAGCAATTCCAAATCATATTTGGTTACCGAGAAAGAAACCCTTTGATTCTGAATAAATTCTTATTAAAAATGGGGGATTTTAAGGGAGTTAAAATAAAAAAAAAATTATAAATCAAAAACGAAAAGCGATAACAACATGAAATTTTCAGTAAAAATCAAGCTCTATAAGGAGATGAAGCCTACTGATTCTGAAAACAATATGAATAAAAATTTGGGGGTAAGGGGGGTTGAAATATTAAAAAAATAGAAATCAAAAACGATATTAAATTGAAATCTTCAGGAAAAATCAAGCTTTATAAGGAGATGAAGTCAATTGATTCTGAAAAAAATCTGATTAAAAATGAAGGTTAAGAGGGTCTGTTAAACTGTGAAAAGTATAATATAGAATGCCAAGCATTATAATATCTTCATTCTATTTTTTAAATTAGTTATTTTATCTTAATAACCTCTAAATTCCTTTTTTAAATTTTGTAGATTTTCGTCCAGGAAAAAATATAATGTTCAACTCGAGTGGATTGATCATATCCACTCTTGTAGCACAATAGCAGTTTGTGTAACAATAGTGGATGTGATGACCATACCGCACGAAGACAAAGTTTGAGCCCGACGCCATAGGCGGAGTACTCAATTGTCTGAGTACAATAATACCTAAATCTTTCAAACGAAAAAACAAAAAAAAGAAGAATACAATTTAGACGAATGAAATCTTCCTAAGTAATTTGATATAATTTCTGTTGATTTTATTTCAGTTCTTATTATTTACTTTAAAATTGTTTTAAATACAATAAAATTCTGTTTATGGATATATAGGTACTTCTACTTTTACCAACCTGTATTTGTCAGATATGGTTTGTCTTCAAAGGATTAAGCTATAGGTAATTCAGTTTAAAATGTATTTTTTTAACAATTTAATTTATTTGCTCGTATGGTTTTGAACTTGAATCTTCAATATTACCGTCATTTCGGGTGACTTGAGACAAAACG